TATTTGACTGGCAATAATTACTGTGCATAAAGGAGTTTAAATATATCTTAATACTAGTATAGCAGGAAGCATTATAACAAGACATGCAAAAACTCATTCTCTAACCCAAGCAAACAATGTGGGACTTCTCATTGCTACATGTGGAAATTTGTTCTGGTCTTGCTTGGAGGGTGTTAGGACTAGGAGCTAAAAGATGCTTTAGAATAAATTAGCACAATTATAAATCTGACAAGAAGATTAATATTCTAACTATGTTCACAATAATTAACTCACCAAAACAGTTCCAGAGTCATTATCCAGCTATGGTGGAATGGGAAAGTTTACAGCACCCCTGTAGATTTATAAGCCAATTAAGGGTGACCCTCCTCTAGACTTCATTAGAAAAGCCTCTGGTTCAGCAAAAGCTCACACGTGCAAGCAAGAAGTTTCCCAGTGAAAGGGAATGCAAGGGATCTTTATCACCTCTATTAAAACACTTTCCCTGCTCCCCTGGAAATTACACATTGCTAGTGCGCCCTCAGCCTCCTGCCAACCCTCCAGGCCTCGCACAGCATCCTCACAGCTGAGAGAAGCACACGACACCACTGGGGCACTGCTGTGGGAGGAGAGCTCTGCTTTATTCCCTGCATGACCAAGGGGTCAGGGGCCAACACCAGAGGAGCACTTCTGATCTTCTGATGCAGCTCTGGGGTAAAGGCTCACAGCCCCTGTCCCACCCAGAGCCACCTTGTGCCTTCCATGAGCAGTGGACAGCAGCTTTATCAGAACATGCACCAAACCAAGTCAGCTGATACCAGCTGGCCACTGCTAACCAGCTCCCTCCTGCTCAGTGTGCACGGGCCTGCACGGAGTGTGAACTATCTCTGTGCCATCTCTGCCATTTTCCCTCTTCATTGCCTTTCTGCACAGATTCATTGTTCTAATATAAAAGCCTTCTCTGCCACTGTCAGAGGAGTCTGCCTTTATCTCCAATTCCACAAGCTCTCCTTCTCCTTTCAAAACTCTGTATAAAAAACATCTCTTTTCTCCTTTTGTTGCATGCATCTATGCCTGTTTCATCCCTTCCTTTGTGCCTTCCTGCATAATTGTGTTTTTCAGCTTTGTAAAGTATTTTTCAATATAGATAGCATAAAAATTGCAATCTAAAATGAAATAGCATTATATCACAACCCACACTTTTTTTTCCAGTAAAATACACAATTTGGACTGACTCAAGCTGTGATGTGTATGCAGGTAAAGCAAATGCTGAATTATTCAACACTTAAAAACACTGAAAAATCATTTACTTGTTACAAGCAATAAGATTTATGTTTTATGTCTCCCAATCAATAGCTAGTGTGTCCACACATAGCTGATTTATCCATATTGAAAATATAATTATAAGTCTAGTTTTCTCTGAACCAGAAAGTCCTTTTGTAACAAGATTATTTAAATACAAATAGGGTTGGAAAATTGGTTTTAAATGGCTAATCTGTCTTGTCTTCAACTCCAGCTGCAGAATTTACTAACATCATAAACACAGGCTGAGTGAAAACTTAAAAGGTTTTCTGATTCTCCCCGCGATCTGTCTATGCAGTCCTCATTAACAGGGAAGTTGATGGGAGCTGCATGCAAGCTGGGAGAGGAGGATAATAAGCCTTGTAATCTCTATAAAGAGAAAGGGACTTTTACTGGTGATATGTCATATATGCTGGTGTGCAAACATCTGTCTTACTGGCAGCCCAATAAAGAATTTATGTGCCCAGGTCTCCAGTGCACTGCAGAACATCTCTGCCATATGGGTGGACCAAACTTATACCCACAACAACTCCTCAGAGCATCAGAGCACTTGCAACAGGGACCATCAGACATTCTTGGGATCATTAAGAAAAGTTTCATCTGGACAGATTTACTTGGGGATTACTGAAGGCCCTGCTGCCTTCCTGCTGTTCCCACCACCTGTGTTCAATGGCCCGGTGATATGCAGTGGGGAAAGGCTGGGCCAGTGCATGAAAGAGAACACTGCAGTGTTACCAACTGGGAATATACCATGGCTTTCTCTCTGAGTCATGCACATAGGCTGGGAGAAAATGCAGATCAAATCTGACTTAGCTTGAGTAGAAATTAAGGATTGGTAATTTGCCACCTCACCCTAACAGAGGAAACTACTGCCCTAAATCCATCTTTCACCGCCCATCCAACCCACCCACAATGCTGTGTTTAACTGTTAATTTTCTTCATACCAGTGTAATTGGTATGGGGGTCTGGTTTGGGTTTATGTTGGAAACAGTCTTGATAACTGAGAGATGTTTTTATTCCTGTTGAGCAAAAAACATCACTGAACCAAAGCCAGCACAGATAGAGATTCCCAAGTCTGGAACTCCCACACTTGTGACAGACTGGTACAGTGTACACTGCCACAGATTGTGACAGTGGAGGCTACCCTGGGGGGCAGCTTTCCCAGCCCTGTGAAATGGTCCATTACCTTAAGTCAAGGGCAAGGGCTCTTTCCTAGGGGTCTGCAATGCAGAACTTCCCTTACAGCCATTCAAGAGCCAGATGTTCAGGACAAGCACCATGTTGTGCTTGTCCTCATTTCATCCAAGGGTCTGAAAAAACCTGTAACATTCAGCTGGACAGCACACTTCTATGTTTCTTCTTAGTTAGAAAAAACCCAAAGGAAAGGATAACTGCCAATAGAAGAGGAACACTGCATAATTTGAAATTATAATTCTGTACATGCTTCTGAAAGCCTCTTTGGCTTTCCTCTTTGTGCTCTGAATGGCTCTCTAGACCTAATTTAATTCAGTGAAGAAAATCCAAAAGTGCCAGGGAAAAAAAAATCAACTTTTTCTTTAGTTAGAATAAAAAATGTACAGAAGGAATTCTTGATCTTCATTAATTCCATGGGTAGGCACACAAGTTCCTAAGTGTTAATGAGACTTGCCAGTTCAGGTGGACTAAAGCATCTAATGAAATGTCAAATGAGCCCACTTTGAATTTACATTATCAGATATTTCCCCCAGGAAAGTTTGGTGAAGCATCCTAACAAACCCTTCAAGCCCTCTGGGAACATGAAGCAAATGGTTCTTCTGGACTGGAATTACATTACTGGCTGACTTGGTCAGTGTGACTCCTAGAAACTAAGGTAATGGGAAAATTATCCAAATCCTTTGTTTCTTTTTCCACACCCAAAGTCTCAATTTTTTTTTCCTCAATTATATAGAAAATTATGCTCTGTAGTCTATGGTGGTTTCCATTAGAAACCTGTACAAAAATTATCTCTCCAGAAAACAAGCATCCAGGTCTGCTGAGGCTTTGGAAGTTGTGTCAGTTTCTGCCCTGAATCAACTTCGTGACTGATCACTCTAGTAAAACAAGAGAGCCCAAGTTGCTCACAAATCCTAATTCACTGTTAAATGCCTGCTAGGCTTGTTCTTATTCTCATGTGCAGTATTAGGTGCCAGATAAGAAACTCAAAAATTGAATCCTTAGGGCATTAAAATTTGCTGTGGTAAATTCTATTTGTTGTCTTTTCAAGTTTCCCTTTGAGAAGAAAAAATTAGAAAAGAAAAAGTGTTTACAGAAAGAAAAGGACTAAAAAGTTTGACATGTAATAAAAAATTATTTTGTCTTAATACAAAATTTAAACAAGCCACATAATATTTTCAGGCAAAGAAGCACTTAACTGACACCAAATATGTAAAAATTTGTCAGTATTTCAGATTCCCAGGGTTGGAAGTCAAGAGACAGATTAAATGATTGCTATATTCAGTCCAAATTCCACTGCTTTTAAATATATATATATAAAAAATTTCTATACATACAATATATACCTATATATACACACACACATATATAATACTTATACATATTATATATATATATATAAGTATCAGAGCAAAGACAGTTTAATATAATATTTTAAGTGACAGGTGAAGCACTTGACAACTTTATGACCATCTTAGGACCAAAGCTGCTTTTCTAAGGGAAGAAGGATTTCATTAGCTTTCCCTGAATCAAGCCATGATAAAGCAAAGTGATGATACAATGCATTTTAGATGCACAGAAGTTCACCTCCCTGTACATGCATCTCCACTGCCACCACACACTTGGGGAAAATTAGGCAGCTCTTCTCCACTCTTACTGCTGTACCCTAGCTCCCATCACTCACAGTTATAATGTTCTAAAGCAAAATCTGCTTTTGTGACACAGCGTTTAAGCAAAGTATTAACCAAAGCAAAAACATAAGTGTACTTGGCTACACTTAACATACTCCCCTTTATTTTTGTGAAGAATCTGTTTCTTTTAACACCACGTATTTTCATGCTACCACTACACCCAGAGCTTGGGAGGAATCCCATTCTATGGGGAGTTACCCATTCACTAGCAACTGACATTTTCTGTACAAAAGGAAGGCTTGCAAACTTTTCCATCCACACCTGTGGTGCCACTGCTGCCCCCAAGCCCTCCTACCAACAGCACTGAACTTGTGACGCAGCAATGGTCAAGTCTGCATAAAAGTATTAGAAAAACCTTGATCACTCTCAGTGTGTCTCCTAAATCATCCCACAACCCATGCTGCAGCTCCAGCCTTCTCCAGCTGAGGAGCAATTTACCACCCATCTTCCTCAGCGTAATCTCTCTTGTTCTGGCCAAACACGTATAAGGCACAGAATTAATTTTCATCTTTCCTGGAGGAAGCACGGAGTTGATTAGCCCCATTTACCCTGGTGTGCCTGAATCAGAGCCAACCAGGCACAAAAGCACACAGGTCATTTTAACTGCCCTGATCATCCTCATAGTCTGAAAAGCCATGTACTCCTGAGGGCCTAAACTTGTATTACACAGACAGTCGGTGACATAACCCATTTAGATCAAACACCCCGTGGAGTCGCTCAGGTCTGCTCTCTCACCACTGCAGCACTCCTTGGATGTGAAACCAGAGCTGCTTCTCCAAATACCCAAATGAGCCTGAACCAGGGAGCTCTGGGGCCAAAGGCCCTGCCATTCAGACCTACCCAGACGGCGTCGTCCTGTCGGTACTGCCTCCAGTTGCGGCCGGTGTCGCTGAACATGAGCGCGTAGGCGGTGACCCAGTCCGAGCTGCCGTACCTGCCCTGCGTGGCCACCGCCACCACCTCCACTCTGTCTCCCAGATCCACCTGCAGCCACTGCTGCTCATTAGACACCAGCGGGGACCAGCCACCAGCTCCTGAAAGATTGGATGAGGAGAATTTAGGTGACAATGACAGCACAAAAAAAAATTTTGCTTGCTAAAGAACCGTTAAATTATTTCAGGCCGTCACAGAGGAGTCTACTTGAGCATGCGGCTGTTTTCTCATATTTTAGTATTAGGAAATACACTACATGAGGTGTGCTTCCATCAGGTTATTTCCATTAACCTAAAGCTCATGAGGAATTTTGAATTTCTAAGACATTTAAAAGAAATGTATTATTTTTCAGCTGTACAAACATCAATGAGGTTGGCACACAAAAAACCCCCCTGAAAAATCATATCTATTCCGTCCTCGCAGTTCTGGGAATGTGAATTTGTAACTTGCAGTTTGCTTTGATACTTTCCTTTTTGCTGTGTTCTGAAAGAAATGCAAAGTGTTAGTTATTTTTATTTGAGCCCTATTAAGTATTTGAAAAAATTGTTTAATTACATCTTATAAATGCATTTCAGATAATTTCTTGTAAAGCTAGAAACTATTTGATTGAAAAACTAAAAGGACTGCCTTCATATTGGAAAGCAGGCTGTCTCTAACATGAGCTTCTAATTCATATTTGTCCTTTAAAAGTACAGATTTGCACTATCCCTTGAATTCCTTCATTGGAAGGAATTCACAATTGGAATTCACAAACAGGCTTGTGCTAACACCAAGCCAAAGAAACAGAACTGCAACCACTGCTTGCATTTTACCACTTTGCTCATTATAATAAATGGAAGATTATAATTAAAAAGAAAACCATTGCAGACTGGAATATATTATGTAATGGTCTCCTGCTTTCTTTTACACCCTAAAATTACAGGCTATGTTTATTTTCCTTTAACTTGTTTCTCCTTGCACACATTTATTCTCCGCATACACCCAGTGTTCAATTTAGCCTCACCAATAAGCAACCAATGCAGCTATGAAGAACACAAGCCATCAAGCAAGTAGCCAAGACAGCAAATTTTGAGGCTACCACTGCTTCTGCCACCCAACACTCTTTTGTTTTGTCATTATTAATGAAGTACGGAAAAGCACTCCAGTACGACTACAGTGAATACAATCACATTGGGAATAAAACTGAACATTTCTGTCTCAAAGTTGTTCTATGAAAAGTTTATTGAAGTGAATAGAGTTGAAAGATTAATAAATGTGGTTTCTCTCAAGGAACTCAATTTCAATAACTCAGCACTTCTACAAACATTTTCTTTTCCTGGATGGTATTGTACTTTCCAACTCACAACTGAAATCTCTTTGTCTAAGAGTAGGTGTTAGAATTGTCATTATTTATAATTTATTAGTATAGGATTTATCTGAACTCCTGAAACAGAACCATATCTATTCCATACCCGTATTGTTCCTGCTCCCCTGGATGACTCAGCCTCCATTCTTCTACAAGAACTCTCCAGGGAAAAGTTTGCAACCAAACCAACATGTACTGCTTCTTAGTGCCATGATTTACCCTCTTCAATCACAACAGAAGTCTTCATCATCACTGATTATTTTACCTACCTTAAATAGAATACTCTGTCCTATGAGTACACCATGAAACACCTAATGAGAATACTAGGAATTTCATCACTGATTTCTTCTTCGACTACTTTATAGCTCTTTTAACTCCATACCTATATATAGCTTATATAATACCTCCTCTTAAAAGTCCTAACAAGCTTAACTCCCACACCACCAATTTTTATTTTGATTTTTTAAGTGCCATATAGAAAATATGGCGTCTACCTTTAAGGTACAAACTACAGAGCTGTGTTCAATTGTGACTATGGCACACAGGAACCAAGGGCAAGCTACCTTTGGATTGTAATATCCAGTATCTAAAATAGACTCTGAACACAGTAGTTGCTGCCTGGTTCCCCCCCCCCCCCCCCCCCAGTTTTATTCCAGGAATTGATATAAAAATCTGCTTCAGAAGTTCTGGCAAAGTTGTTCCATTCATGACTCAAAAAAGCCTATTCTAAATGTTTTCAGCATGTATTAAAAGAAAGTTGGCATTTTCATCTTTCCTTCATTCAACATAGAAAATGACAACTAGATGAAAGAAAATGGCACATAACAAAAATATTTGGTGAGTTTTCCATTAAAAACACAAAAACTTTGCTTTCTATGTTCTAGTTTATACAAAAATTCTTAAGCCAAGCCTGTTAGCACAGATGCTTCCCAGCAGTATGTCAAACATCATAACTAAATATCTACTTTATGCTTTCTCCCTTCTGCTGCTAGAAGTGGCAGGAATGTGATATGCTTTCAACAAAAGTGTTTGGCTTTACTGTGCACTGCTATTTTCCAGCTTGAGCACAACACCACAGGCTTCTAATTTCGAATTCAAACAAATGATACACACTGAAGAGAAATTTGGGAGATCTGTGCTGAGCTTGAGCCCTAAAATCATAGATTGCATGGTATCTCTGAACTGCATCTCTCTTTACATGACAAGCACATTTATCTGCTGGGAATGTCACTCTTTAGATGCAAGCACTGCAGACACAGCACTGCCACCTGCTCATAGCATCACCTCTCCAAAGCTGGTCTTCCAAGAAAGATCAGTTACAGGCCATGCCTTCACAAAACAGCAGCTGCTTCATACATTTTTTTCCTGTGGAGAAACAAGCCCACTGTGTTTCCCCTCTCCCAAACCCTCCACCATTACCATTTCCACAGGTGGACAGTAATTCTGCTGCTGGTAAGAATGGCAGCTAATATCCCAGCAACAGCAAAGCTGCATTGGCTGCATGACTGAGGGCAGAACTGAAGCTTTTCCCACTGGGCCTCTCTCAATTCTGCAAACATGTAGCTTCTGCTTGCTTCTGTGGTTATCCCAAATCCTCACCAAATACTGCTGTGAGTGACAAAAATCAATAAAAGTTCTTCTTCCTCCACATTTACTCCATCATACAGAGCAGGTGGCACAAGGGATACTGGCATTTTTTCCAGCACAGTCTGTGTCTGCACATTTCTTTTATGCACATCATTCCTGATAGTGTGTCAACAACCCATCCTGTATTTTTTTTAGTAAGTACCAAAAAAGCACAACCAAAGCAGAGCAACTACTTAGAGCCCTTTGCTCCTCTACCTACCTTGATGCTTGCCCTGTGGACTGTTTGCCAACAGAGGCCCAAGACAAAGGACAAGAAGGCTCTAATAGGCAACAACACAGGCTACTGAAGACACAACTTACAGCACATCAAGTCCTCTGAACAGATTCAAGCATAACCCAATGTCTTTTTCCTGCAATTGGGCACAAAAATATTGAAGAGGACTACATAATTTTTTTAATTGTGGTATAAACACAAACCAGACAAAAATTTGGCTTTGATTATGCCCATCAGATCTGCACATGTGTTTTGGGCGTGTTAAGATGTCACACTGGCTGTCACACAAACACAAGAGAGACAGGATCCTCAATATTTCCCCTCTCTACCCACCAGGTTCCCAGTGGCATCGACAGGATTCTGCCCATTGTGCTAAACCATCATTCCTCACAGCTCACACATTTCACATCTTCTGGGGGTCATTTCAAAAGAGGTATTCAACATGTAAATGGGGGAAATACCCCAGCAGAGAAACAATACCACAGGAACCTGATATATTGTTCATATTCTCCATGGCAACAAATCATAATGTTAGAAGTATGTGGAGAGCAAGGATCTGATGGTTTCTCAGTTGGAAACCCATACGACTCCAAGAAATATGATCAAATACTTTTGTTTCTTTTTCAGACTGTTTGTACATTTTGCCATAGTTGTTTCAAAAGTTGCATTTAAGCTCAGTGTTACACAGTCAATGCTTTTTGATGTTCCCCTGGGCTGCTCAGGATGCCCATACTTATTTGTACTTGATCATTACAAAGCAAAGGGAATTATTATTTCCACCCTACCTGCCTTACAAACAGCTCAAATGGCTTTATATACAGTATATATTACTAAAAACTCCTGGACTTCCCACTGCAACTAAGTGCTTCCCTGCTGCAGAATTTTACTTTAATGCCCAGATCAAACACTTCCTGGCCATAAAATAAATTCTTTTTGACACTATATATGCTTTATTTTCTCATACATAATTGCATATACTGACTACTCAGGCTGAGAGCTAATAAGAACTGAAAAATCTTAGGTGATACAGTCATACTGTAGCAATTTTCTTATTATTTTTCATTATTTATTTACTGTATTCAAAATAGCTGATAAATCCCTCTTGTGGGAAAATAATATATTTCATACCTCAGAATCTTATTTATCAGAATTATACTAGCTCTTTAGCATTACCAGTACAGATTTATCAGCATTTTAATTAAGCACTTTCAGCTGTTCACACAAAGCTTTACTCATAGGTACTTTGTGTGTTTGTTTTTCTAAATGGCACATTCCACTACTGCAGGCCTTTTTTTTAAAACAACAGCCTTTTACTTATGTTATCTATTACTGAATAAACTTGATCAATTAGAACTTTCTGTCAATAAAGGACTGGGTTGTGCTTTATAAATTCATCTCCACTTGTTGCATTCATGTTTACATTAACAAATATATTAATCTGGCTTTCTACCCAGAGCTCTATTCCTTGCAGCACTGTCTTATCAATTAGAAGCAAAGCTAAGCCAACTCATCAAAACAAGCCACAGACCAGTCCTTGTTAAGAAATGTTATTTCCTGTAAAGATATCTCCTATTTGCATTCAAGTATCAGTCCAAGAAAGTTTCTACAGCCACCATCTAACTACTGCTTGATCCTCCCATCCAAGCTCAGGCGCTACGTAGACTTAGTTCTCTTCACAGTAGCTGGTACAGAGCAAATTGTGCTGTAACATTCTGTATTGTGTTGACAATACAGAAATGTGTCTGCTGTTGCTGAGAATCGCTTAACACACAGGCCAAGGCCTTTTTTGCTCCTCACACCCCCCCACTAGTGAGGAGGGTAGGGTAAGCAAAATTTGGGAGTGGACACAGCCAGGACAGCTGACCCCAACTGACCACAGGGATATCCCATCCCATACAGCATCATCTTACAGCTGGGGGATGCAGGAGGAGGTAAAGGAATGTTCAAAGTGATGGCTTCATTTTCACTCTTGTGATTCCCTGCCCCATCCCAGCAGGGGCAGTGAGTGGCTGTGCAGGGCTGAGTTGCTGGGGTTTGTGCAGGACATGTGCCCAACATGGGCCTCAGAGGGTTTGAGATAATTGCAGATTTGATTGGAATGTAGTAGATTGCATTTACAGCTGTTACTGCTGGTTAGCTATTAATCAGCAGCTTCTGTGTTTGCCATGGGGCTTGCTTCCCTTACTGCTTATTAGAGTCTATTGCTCATTAGTAGCTACTTTTTGCTTTTGCTGCTTGCGGTCCTGCTTATCATCTCACTGCTGGGCCTGGGAACATTTTGATGACAGCAGTGCCCATGCTCCTGGGCTGGCAAGTGGCCAGGGCATCCCTGCTGCTTCTGTGCACTGGGCAGGCTGAACTCCAGTGTGAGCTCAAGCCAAAGGGGTGTGACCTGTGGATGAGTCCCTGTGGCAAGAGGACAGCTCAGGTGGCTGTGGCTGGGAGAAGCCCATGCCAGAGCAGTAACATCTCAAAGTGCCTGTGGCTATGGTTACAGTTGTGCCACAGCTGGCACCTCTGGAGGGACTGTGGACCAAGGGTAAGTGCACACTGCAGTAGGTACTCCCTGAAGCACCGTGGCTGAGCATGAGGCTGTGCTGGAGTACATCAAAGCCCACCACAAAGCAGGGACTGCAGCCCTGAGGAAGGCAGGAGCAGGATTACCTCTGACAGGACTGTGGCTGATGTAAGGCCATGCTGGAGTGAGCAGCTGTGTGGGGCTTCATTGTTTTTGGGGGTTAAGGCACAGCAAGTCCCCATAGGAACTCTGCCAGCACTACAACTGCACATTCCTACACAAGTCCATGCAGCAAAAGAATCAGACAAGGTAGAGTTTAGCTTCAAGGTCCCTGCGTTGGCCTCAGCTCATCAGTTAGCACATAAGAACTCAAAACATGAAACAAAAGTTGCTGAAACAACCCCCTTACTTAGGGCTTGGACTTTACCAGTGTGATACTGGATTGCTAAAAAACTACAATATCTTACCCCTCACTACATGACAAAAGTACTGTGGGACAGTTAACTAAGACCTGTTTCAATTTCTGACCTTAAATTGAAACTACTGTCACAATTTCAAACATTGTTAGTATCTCTTTAATATAGAGTACAGCCAGAGCTTGACTTGCAATACTGATTTTGAACCTCTTCCTCTTTTCTACAGATAAAATTAGCTATTGGAGCCACCTGCACAATCACATAAGCATATCTATTCACCATCTCAGCCAGCAGTTGGAGACAAAGGCAGGGCAAACTCAAATGTCATGCTCAATGTTTACAACTTCCTTTTGTTGAGCAGTAACCACATGATCTTTTACTTGCTGAGGAACTCTGGTTCAAGAGTTCAAATATGATATTGTAACTCCCATCTAACACTTCTTTAATGGCCAAACAACTCCTTATCATTAGTGCCAAGCATATAAGAGAGAGCCCTTTATTGTCTTTCTATAGATTTATCAAATGGTGTTTGATTAAAACACACTTCAGGGATGTTTAAGAATGAAAATTCTGATTTATTTTCAATTAAAACCTTTTTTGCAGTAGTGTTCTTTCAAGTATTTCCTAAAATGAAATTCATGTGTAATATGATAATACAGGGCTTTCCACTTTTAGATGCTCTACCTTGGAAGTAAGATGAAAGCTGACAACCTGAATTTACAACAGGATGTCAAATGATGCCCTAAATACTGCCAACTTCTCCTTTCTGGTACTATGCTTCATATTCACACTTCCACCTGGTGTGTGAACTCATTATCTGGACCTCAAACATTCATGATGGCGAATGTCTGAAAAGTTGTTTTTCACATTCACTATTTCTGCAGGGTTGTGTAATCATTGAATTCCACTGGAATTTCATACCTAGTTGCTATTGTCTTTAACACATTTTAGAATACGGTCTCAAACCTAGAAACCTTTAAATTAAAATATGGGAACTCATCCAAAGCAAAAAGACTGTCTCAACTTCCTGGGTGATATCTCTACAAAGGAAGTGGAGATCTTCACAATTAATAGAAGCTTTCTATAATAAAGGAGGAAAAAGCTCCTACACAGCACACTCTCAGGAGCATAAATTAACACACTGCATAAAAACAGCATAGAAAGATATTCTTTGTAAAAGTGATTGAAACAAATAGTTTAGGCATTTAACATTTCAACCTTACCATCTCTTCTGTTGAGTTTTGCAAAGCTGGGACTGTGAGTACTGAAGAGCTCAGAGGAACTGGTAAGGGCAGCTGAAGGTAAGGGAGATACCAATGCATCATCACAATTATCTGAAAAGAAAAACAAAAAAACAAAACATACAGAGGTCATCCTATGAGCAACACATACACCAACATGTGCTATCTCCAGGTGGTGTTTTTTCTACTTAGTAAACAGGGAGTGGACACACAGCAGCACACTTGTGCTTAAATTCACATGTGAGAACTGAAATTAACCCTCCAGAACTTCCCAGTCTGGTGGGACAACCATCACATGGGAGCTGCTAAGACATTGAAGGCTTGAAAAACTGGAAAATGTTGTGCTTTCAGTGAATGAGATTTGATTGTCTACCCTGCAGTTAAAGAGGGCATAAAGAGGGCACCCTGAGATAACATCCCAGGTGTTCTGTGTTCAGTACAGTTTTTCCACAGAATAGGTGGAAAATGTAGGAATTACAGCTTCGTATTTCTGTGTGGATGTGACACACAGGAACATGCCACGGGGGCTTTTGCAACATGTAAAAGTGTGTCCCATGCTTCACAGGTGTCTCAGGCTGCACTAAAATCTCAAAACCTGAACACCTCCGTCATTTTTTCCCCAAGCTCACACAAACCTGCAGGGCCGAAATAGCTTTTTTGACATACATGAGCAGCCTCTACATTTCTCCCCTCTTTCTTTCACAACTGCTCTGAGGACAGATGGGCTATGCTAATACTCAAATGGAATTTTTGAGCCCATAATGTTTGAACAGGGACAGAATTAAATAAAGTAAATTTTCTCATTACAATGCTGTCACATAAATACTCAAGAACATAATGCGGGGTTTCAGTAGGGAATAATAATAATAAAAACCCCTCTCATTTTTAATTGAATCTCCCATGGAGCAAACATGGACCTAATTACTGGAAAAGGCCTGCAGGTCACCAGGATCTCAGGCCACCATAGTCTTCTTGCACTCAGAGAGTAAATATGCAGCTTACAAGGATTGGGAGGAGGGGGAGAAGAAAAGGCTACAAAAGACAATAAAAGCAAAACTTGCTTGATAGTTATGAAAATTATTTTAGATTATTCTAAACCTGAGTAATACCTTTTTCATATTGAGACAGATTACATTAAAATATTTCTCATCCCTTTCTACACAGACTCTCAAGAACAACCCAGATACTTTTGCAATCAAAATCCAGCTCTATATGAAAGAAAAATCAATGCAATCAATATAATTTATATCAGTGCATTGAATGATGGATCTCAAAAACCAAACTTCTATCCAAAACCCCTTCTATCTCTTTCATTCACAAGAGCAAAAAGGCCTAGCAAGATCTGCCAGATAGATAAATTAGGGGCAGAGTTGCACTGATGTTGTAGCCACAAGGATGATTAGCTAACAAAACAAGTATCATGGTCCTGAGCAGATTCCCTTTGACTTACACCCTTCGAATCTCAAAGAGTGGAGGGCTTGAGGTCTCCTGGTACACCATGAGATCAGGCCATAACTGTTGTATTCGGACTTTAAAAAATCCCAAACAAAACACCTGTAAATTGAGAGTCTTAACTTCACTGTCACTCATGACCTGAACAGAGATTTAAACAAAGATTGGAAATGGTGAGTTCATGAGGGCACCGAATTCACCCAAACTTCTGCATTCTATAAAACCAGCAGAGGGGTTGAGAACATCTCAAAAGAAAGTCTAAAATCCTGGTGGACAGATCTACAGGACTATTCAGCAGCACTTAAAACATGAGGCTGGAAATAACTGAACACAGAGATTTCACTTTAAACACTGTGTAGATTGCCGGTTATCTTCAGCTCCCTGTGGTTGTTCCTGGGCCACAACAGAACCCAGCACATCAATCAGCCTGTGATCCAGCTCCCCAAAGGTAGGACTGGGTACCTATGGGACACCAAGTATCTCAGCAAGAGAAAACCATTTCAGAGAAACACATTTAAGGTTTGCCCTGGGACCTCCAGAGGCTCCAGGCTGAGAGGTGACAATTAGTTCCGGTAACTAGGAGATGCTTTGTCTAAATTTCCATATCCTCTGCTTCTGTCCCAATGCACGTTCATCTGTATGTCTGCTGCTACAGAACTGCAATTCCATTTCCACACTAAATTCTGGGATCCTTATTGTGCTTTGTTCTAAAAAATAAATGGGGGGGAAAAAAAAAAGGAAGAACAAACAGCTAAAATATAGCTAGGAAATCTTCCCTGAATAATACCTAAGTATAAAAACATGTAAGTTTAAGGCTTCAGGATTTAGGACAGCATTAAAAAAATTGATGATAGTTCTGAGGGCACCAGGACTAATACAGCTCAACTTTCAACAGATAAGAGAATAACGACTGATTGACTCAGAGTACGTGCAGGAATTTCCTCCAAGTGAAGATTATTTTTGAATGGATACTCTGACACAAGGTCACTCTTCTGCCCTTCAGTCAGTCAAAACTAACTGCACTGAATCAAGAGCTCTACACGCAGACCTTCAGTGCAGAACATGGCACAGTTTCTACATGCCAAATGAAATTCCAGAGTACAGCAGAGTGCTTTGAGAGGTGCACCAGTCAACTTGTACATGCACAACAATCCAAATAATTTGCAGAACAGCACTGACACATCTCTTGTCAGAGATGCCAACATGCACACATATGAGACTGATATTTCTTTGTAAAACTTAGCTGAAATAGGGTACAGAGTTCAAAAAGGTGGGGTGTGCACGTACAGCGAGGGTCATTCCACTGGCCCTAGTTCCATGAGAAGGCAATACTGAAAAGCAAACAAACCAACCACCAAAGACACCTCTGAAGAATCAAAAACTCTCCAAGAAAAAAGGTTTTTATTATGTTTCTTTTTGTGATGAATGCAGACAAGAGTGAGATGAAAAATTTTATGCTTATGCAAGATCAGAGAAGACCCATGATAAAACCAAAAGCAAAACCAGTGTATCCTGATTCCCACCACACAATGCCAACACACACATTTCAAGAGGCTTCATAACCCCACCTTGATGTGGCAGGAAAAAAACATTATTTCAGGTGTTCTCACATTTACAACTCCTTACCTGTAGTTCCTGACCTATTAATCCATTTGCTTTGGAAGTTTTCCTGTCAGAACAGAAACTTTGCTTCTTAGAATTAACTGCATTATACACCTATTAAAAACATTGGTTTTAACAATGAATAATTCTACACTACAGAACCATTTAAAACATCTGGACACTCACAAAAGTGCATTTACTAGCCAGTTGTTCAGTTGTTTTCTCCTATGTTTTCCTTGACAAGATAATTAGCAAAGAAATCATGAAAAAGAGGGTCTAATTGTACCTATAAGCCAACTGTATTATGCAAACCACACAACAATACAGATGTTGATTTGCATTTCAGAAAATGGTGCTGACCTTGAACATGCCAACTTCTGAAAAACAAACAGTTACTGACAGCATTTCCAGTGTTATGAGTGTTACTAGAACTTTCATAAGCAATCTTGCTTCTGGAATTAAGAAAAAGAGTTACATATATCAACCTGAATTTTCTAGGTTTAATTCACTAATGATTTTTAGAAAAAACTGTAAAATTAACAAAAAAAAGGAGAAATAAATCTATTATCTTTTTTTTCATTCTATGAAGTTGTTTTATTAATTAGTTTTGACTCTTTTCTTGTAGCTTTAATTACCCTCCAAATAAAAACAAGGAAATATCTTCTCCCTCTTTGCTCATGTATTTTAATTTTTTTACAGAATGCTTTGAACAATTCCACAAATATAAATGTTATCAGTTCAAAATCATTCAAGTGACATTTAGACACACTCTTAGTGTTCTTTGAAATATGTCACATAATACCAGCTTTAACTAACAGCACATAAACCAGAATTTCAGAGAAGGCCTTTTGCCCAAATTCCTGATTAAACTTCGTTCATTGTGAAGGCCTTCAACATCTGTGGTATGTATAAAAAAAATAACTGAAAAATATGTATCCAAGGCCTAGAGAGACAGTATTTCAAATGCTCCTGAAGAACAGCACGTTTCTCAAATACAGTTAACATATTATCAAAACAGAGTTTGCATAGAAATCAGAGATTCAGCCTAACTTTACTAGTTCTTCCAGGACACATTTCACACTGGTGTTGGCAGGCTTGGCATGATCCAGTTTGTAACCACCTTCAAGGCTGAGACAGCCTTCATCAGCAGCAACTGGTACAAATTTAGAAAGCTTCTGATCACTGGGCACTGAAGACATTTAGAAAATCACAAAGCCCAGGAACCCATCATGGTCACACTACTGCTTCTTAGAGCAGGTCCTCATTGCAGGCCCAAATTGAGATGTGGTAACAAACCTGTCCTGCTCTGGTTTCTCTGGTTCACCTGAAGAGCCAGTGGGACAAAACACATTGATTTCCACTTGTGAGGGCCATCCAGAAAGGTCACTAACATTTCCTTAAAAGAACTTTTGATAAAGAGGACACCATTAGTCAAATATCTCCAGTCCCTGGTCTCCAGAGATTTTCCAAACATCAGCCTCTAACTGCTTTTGGTACTGCTGTACCTTCACCAGGACAAACATGCAGAAAATCCTTTACTACAAAGTTTTTCATTTTTTTTAATGTAATAGTACATTGTTTGTCAAGACCTCCTATCATTATAATAAGTAATTACTTATACTGGTACTTAGACCAGCAATCTCATATCACCATCAATGCAAAGTATCTGACAAGCCACAGTAAGACTCAGATCTATGCTGCAGCTACTCTATTAGCAACCATAAGCATCCCAAAATAATTATAAATACCATGAAAGCAGCACTCAGAGTAGGAACATGGTACTGGTGTCACCTAATAATGCAACTGAGGGAAGAGTGGAGGACAGGACAGAGCATGCAAACTATTGAAAGAGCAAAAATTGCCTTCTCTCTGCAAAATACAGAAACTGAAGATGAAAAAGGAGAGAATTACAGCCCAGAGAATTGTGTGGTTAGGTGCCATGATGGAGGCAAAAAGACAAATTCAGAAGAGGGCAACTGTCATGCCTCCTGCTCTATCACATGGTAATAAAAGCATTTTAAGGGAAGGTCCTTCCTGTA